GCCTTCCATTACCTGTCCTACACTGGCCTTGCCTTGCCTTGCCTCTCCTTGCCTTGCCTTGCCTTGCCTGGCCTTGCCTCTCCTGGCCTGGCCTGGCCTTGCCTTGCCTGGCATGGCTTCTCCTGGCCTTGCCTTACCTGGCCTTGCCTGGCCTGTCCTGGATTTGCACTGCCTGTCCTGGCCTTGCCTTGCCTGGCCTTGCCTTACCTTGCCTTGCCTGGCCAGTCGTGGACAGGCTTTCCCTTGCCTAGCTTTGCCTTGCCTGGCCTGGCCTTGCCTTGCCTTGCGTGGCCAGGCCTTGCCTTGCCTTTATGGCCTGGCCTGGCCTTGACTTAGCTGTCCTTACATGATCTTGCATTGCCTGTCTTGGACTGGCCTTGTCTTGCCTTGCCTTTCCTTGCCTGGCCTTGCCTGGCCTGCCCTCCTTTTGTATGACCTGGCCTGGCCTGGCCTTTCCTGGGCTGGCCTTGTCTTGCCTTATCAGGCCTTCCATTGCCTGTCCTGGACATGCCTTACCTTGCCTTTCCTCGCCTTGTGTAGCCTTGCCTTGCCTTGCCTGGCCTGGCCTTACCTTGTCTTTGCTTGCCTTGTCTTGACTGGCCTTGCCTGGCCTAGTCTTGCTTTGCATTGCCTTGCATTACCTTCCCTTCCCTTGCCTTACTTCCCTTGCCTTGCCTGGCCTTGCCTGGCCTTGAATGGCGTGCCCTGGTTTTGTATGACCTGGCCCGGCCTTTCCTGGCCCGGCCTTTCCTGGCCTGGCCCTGCCTTGCATTACCAGGCCTTCCATTGCCTGTCGTGGACTTGCCTTACCTTGTCTTCCCTTGCATTGCCTTACCTGGCCTTGCCAGGCCTGGCGTGGCTTGGCCTTGCCTTGCCTGGCCTTGCATTGCCTGTCATGGCCTCACCTGGCCCGGCCTTGCCTTCCCTTCCCTTGACTTGCATTGCACTGAATTGCTTTGCCTGGCTTGCCCAGGCCTGGCCTTCCCGTGCCTTGCCTGGCCAGCCCTTGCCTGGACTGGCCTGCCCTGTCCTGGCCTTGCTGTGCCTTGCCTTGCTTTGCCTTACCTGGCCTTGCATCTCCTATCCTGGCCTGGCCTGGCCTTGCCTTGCATTGTCTTGCCTTGCTTGTCCTGGTCTGGATTTGCCTTGCATGGCTTGGCCTGGCCTTGCCTTGCCTAGCCACGCCTTGCCTTGCCTTGCACTGACTTGCCCTGCCTTTGCTTTCCTTCTCTGGCCTAGCCTGGCCTGGCATGGCCTGGCCATGCTTGGCCTTGCTTTGCCTTGCTCTGCCTTGCCTTGTCTTTAATGGCCTTGACTGGCCTTGCCTGGCCTGGCCTTCCCAAGCCTTCCCTTGCCTGTCCTGGCCTTATAGTACCTGGCATTGCATTTCCTGGCCTGGCCTTGCATTGCTTTGCATTGCCTTACGTTGCCTTGCCTGGCCTTATATTACCTGGCATTGCGTTGCCTGGCCTGGCCTGGCCTAAGTTTGCCTTCCCTAGCCTAGCCTTGCCTTGCCTGGCTTGGGCTTGCCTTGCCTTGCCTAGCCTTACCTTACCATGCCTTGCCTAGCCTTACCTTGCCTTGCCTTGTCTTGCCTGGCCTGCCCTGGCCTTGCCCTGGCTGGCCTTGATTGGCCTGACCTTGCCTGCCCTTGCCTGGACGGGGCTCTCCCGGCCTTTCTTACCTGGCCTTACCTGTCCTGCATTTCTACTACTGTATGGGCCATGCCTTGTCTTACCTTGCCTTACCTTGCCTTACCTGTCCTGCACTGCTACTACTGTATGGGCCTTGCCTTACCTTGCCTTACCTGGCCTTTCCCTGTCCTTGCATGGACTGGCCAGTCCTGGACTCGCCTTGCCTTGCATGGCCTTGCCTTGCCTGGCCTGGTCTGGTCTTCCCTTGCATGGCTTGGCCTGGCCTGGCCTGGCCTGGCCTTGCCTTGCCTTGTCTTGTCTTGCCTTGCCTGGCCTAGCCTTGCCATGACTTGCCTGGCCTGGCCTTGCCATGCCTGACATTGCCTTGCCTTGCCTTGCCTTCCCTTGTGTTTCCTTGCCTGGCCTTACCTGGCCTTGCATTGCCTATCCTGGACTTGCCTTGCTTTCCCGTTCCTTGCCTTGCCTTTCCTTGACTTGTCTTGACTTTCCTTGAGTTGAATTGCCTTGCTTGGCCTGGCCTGTCATGACCTGTCCTGGCCTTGCCTTCCCAGGCCTTGACTAACCTGGCCTGACCTTGCCTGGCCTGGCCTTCCCTGGCTTTACCAGGCCTTGCATTGCCTGTCCTGGACTGGCCGTGCCTTGCGTTGCCTTGCCTAGCCTTGCCTTCCCTTGACTTGCCTTATCTTGCCTGGCCTTGCCAGGCCTGGCCTGGCCTGGCCTGACCTTGCATGGACTCTCCTGGCCTTGCTTTGCCTTGTTTTAACTTGCCTTGCCTGGCCTTAGCTGGCCTTGCATTGCCCGTCCTGGACTGGCATTGCCTTGCTGGGCCTTGCCTTGTCTTGCCTTGCCTTCCCTGGCATTGCCTTGCCTTGCCTTGCCTTCCCTAGCATTGCCTTGCCTTGACCTGCCTTTCCTTGCCTTCCCTGGCATTGCCTTGCCTTGCCTTGCCTTTCCTTGCCTTGCCTGGCATTGCCTTGCATAGCCTTACCTGGCATGGCATTGCGTTTCCTGGAGTGGTCTTCCCTTGCCTTGCCTTGCCTTGTCTTGCATTGCCTTGTCTTGCCTGGCCTGGTCTGCACTTGCCTTGCATGCCTTGGCCTAGCCTGGACTTGCCTTGCCTTGCCTTGCCTTTGGTTGCCTTGCCTTGCCTGGCCTGGTCTTGACTTTCCTTGCATGGCTTGACATGGCCTGGCCGTGCCTTGCCTTGCTTTGAATTCCCTTGCCTGGCCTGGCCCGTCATGGCCTGGCCTGGCCTGGCCTTGCCTTCCTTGTCCTTTTCTGGCCTTGCATTGCCATGATTGGCCTATCCTGGCCTTGCCTGGCCTGGCCTGGCCTGGCCTGGCCTTGACCTGCTTGGCCTTGCCTGAACTGGCCTTGCCTGGCCGTGCTTGGTATAGCCTGACCAAGACTGGCATGGCCTGGCCTTGCCTTTCCTTGCCTAGCCTTGCCTTGCATGGCCTAACCTGGCCTGGCCTTGCCCTGTCTGGCCTTGATTGGGCTGACCTTACCTGCCCTTGCCTGGCCTTACCTGTCCTGGCCTTGCGTTACCTGCCCTTACCTGTCCTGCACTGCTACTACTGTATGGGCCTTGCCTTGCTTTACCTTGCCTTACCTGGCCTTTCCCTGGCCTTGCATAGACTGGCCAGTCCTGGACTAGCCTTGCCTTGCTTGGCCTTGCCTTGCCTGGCCTGGTCTGGTCTTCTCTTGCACGGCTTGGCCTGGCCTGGCCTTGCCTTGTCTTGTCTTCCCTTGCCTTGCCTTGCCTGCCCTGGCCTGGCCTTGCCTTCGCTTGCCTTGCCTTGTCTTGCCTTGCCTTGCCTGGCCTTTCCTTGCCTTGACTTACCTGGCCTAACCTGGCCTTGGGTTGCCTGCCCTCGACTGGCCGTGCCTTGCATTGCTTTACCCTGCCTTACCTGGCCTAGCATTGCCTGGCCTGGAGGGGCCTGGCCTGGCCTTGCCTTCCCTGGCCTTGCCTGGCCTGGCCTTGTGTGGCCTGGCCTTTTCTGGCCTGGCCTGGCTTTGCCTTCCCTGTGATTTCCTGGCCTTGCATTGCCTTTATTAGCCTGGCCTGGCCTGGCCTTTCCCTGGCCTGCTTGGCCTTGCCTGGCCTTTCCTTACCTGGCCTTGCCTGGCCTTACATGGCCTGTCTAGACCTGGACTAGCCTTGCCTTGCCTAGCCTTACCTTGCCTTAACTGGCCTTGCCTTTCCTTTCCTGACCTGGCCTGGCCTTCCCTTCAGGGGCCTTGCCTTCCCTTGTCTTGCATCTCCTGGCCTGGTCTCGCCTGGCGTTGCCTTGCCTTGCCTTGCCTTGCCGTCCTGGTTTAAACGCAGACAGACAGCTTGTTCACTCACTTCCCCCCAGGGGACTTGAGGATATCACGGAAGCACACAATGGTTTGGATTCGGAGGGTCCTTAAAGCTCCTTGTCCTGGGTTCAGCAGTAGCAGTCATTTTTCCCCTTCTTGGTAGCTGGTGTAGTGCAGTGTTTTGACTTTCAGCTCGGGAACAGAGCTGATAGCGATGTTTTGGTTTGGCCAAGGACTTTGTGAGCCTCATGCTCTACCAGGGGGGAGGGGAAGCCAGGAGGAAGCAGAGACAGGACACCTGACCCAAACTGACCAAAGAGGTATTCCATACCACAGCACGTCATGCCCAGGATGTAACTGGGAGTTAGCTGGAAGGGCTGGGAGACTGCAGGGTTGGAGGAGGTATCGGTCGGAGCTTGGTCGGGCTTGGGGGCTGAGTTATCGGTCAGCTGGTGCTGAGGTGTTGTATTCTCTTCCCTTGTTATTTCCTTTATCATTATTATCATTGGTGGTAGCAGTAGTGATTTGTGTTATACCTTAGTTACTAAACTGTTCTTATCTCAACCGGTGGGAGTTGCATTCTTTTCGATTCTCCTCTCCATCCCTCCGAGAGCAGGGGGAGGGCAAGAAAGGGGGGGGAAGTGAGCGAACGAATTACCTGACTGGGTTTAAACCACGACACTCCTCCAGCTCCAAACCCTGCCACTGGCAGAGACAACTTCCACTGGAGCAGCTTGCTCCAAGCTCCATTCAACCTGGCCTTGAACACTGCCAGCCATGGGGCAGCCACAACTTCTCTGGGCACCCTGTGCCACTGTCCCACCACCCTCACAGGGAACAACTTCTAAGATCTCATCTCAATCTCCCCTCTCTGTCACGTTAAAATCGTTCCCCCTTGTCCCATCCCCACAGGCCCTTGCTCTCCCCACAAGAAATGAGGGCAGATCCCAGGATCATCCCTCGGCAGCCACTCTGGGGAAGTCTCTTGAGGTGTTCTGGAAACTCCTACAGCACCCCAAGATCACCATCGCCACCCACCTCCTTCCACGCTCCTGTGTCCACAGGCGGCACCAGCTCTGAGACACCAAGACAGGAACCACCAGAGGAGCTGCTCTTGCCTCCTCCACCGGTAGCTTGTGTTCCGTGGGGCAGCTGTCGTCTCCCGGTGCCTCTGCTGGAGGGTTCCATGGGGTTCTGTGACCTCACACACCTGAACACAGGGAGTTCCAGAATCAGCCACCCCTGTGGTCTCCATGTCCCCAAGGTCATTGTGATGCAGGAGCTCTGACTGGGTCTATGGGGTGCTCTGGAGGTGCTGCAGGCATTCTCTGGGATTCTCTAGGGGTATCCCCAGGATGCCCTGGGAGTGCACAGAGACACAGGGCCGTGGAGCAAGCTGCTCTAGTGGAAGGTTTCCCTGCCCGTGCCTTTGGAGATTGGAGCTGGGTGAGCTTTAAGGTCCCTTCCAGCCCAGCTCAGCCCACTCTGGGATTCCATGATTCTCTGCTGTGCCAATGTCGGTCCCTCTCCACTCCTCGTAGGTGGCCGTGACGCCCTGTTCCATGGCCCACGTTGAGCTGTGACCCCTCGCATGCTCCACCTCCGGACCAAAGGCACTGAGGAAGAGCAGCCCGTGAGGGACCTCCCCGAGCCGGCTGGGCAGAGGCTGGTCCCCCTGCAGCGACTCCCGGAGCACCCCTGGGTGCCCTCAGCTTCCAAAATGGGGGGATGGGGGGGGGGTCGATCCGAAGCCTTGTTGACACCAATGTAAATAGCGGGGGGTGGGAGGGGGGGAAGGGGAGGGAGGGAGGGAGGCGTCACCTTAAGACTGTATAAAAAGGAAAATTAACCAATAAATAAAGATTTCACAGGAAATCGAGGCCTCTTTTCCCCCCTAGCTCCCAAATTTCGGCCTTTCCTCATCCCCGTTCGGTGATGCTCGCCGCACTTCCGGGTTGGTTGCTAGGCAACGGGGTCTCCGCGTACCGCTTCCCCTGCGTTGCCAGGTGACGGCCAGTGAGCTTCCACCGCGCTGCGCGTTGCCAGGCAACCTTGCCCCCGCCCCCCGCCTCGTTCTGGCGACCGTTGCCCAGTCAACAGCCAATCAGCTCTGAGCTCCCCAACTCGTGTCCCCATTTAACCCCGTCCCGGCTGCCCCCCCCATGGCCCTGAATATGGGGCTTTTCCTTGCCCCTGCCCCCCATTTGTCCCCTCTTCTCCTCCCCCCCTTATGCCCCCCATTCCCCCTCCCCTTTTTCCCACCCCCATTCCCCACATTCCTGCCATTTCTCCCCCTCTCCCTCCATCCCTCCCCATTTCTCATCCCACCATCGTTACCCCCCCCCTTATTTACATGCAATTAGCGTAGGACCTGCTTTACTCACACGCAGTTCATGTAGGGTTGAACTTATTTACATGTTACTAACACAGACCCTTCCTTATTTACATGTTATTAATGGAGGGCCTACTTAATTTGCGTCCTTTTAGTGGAGGACCTGCTTTATTTACATGTTATTAACATGGAGCCACTCGTATTTGCATGTTCTTACTGTAGGACCTCCTGTATTTACATGGTGCTGTGCCAGAACCTCCTGTATTTACTCACTTATTAATGTAGGACCTATTTTATGTACAGTTGCTGTCGGATCTGCTCTATTGACAGGGTATTGGGGCAGGACCTACTTCATTTATGGGCCCTTATTGTAGGTCCTACTTTATCGAGGAGGTATTATTGTAGGACCCATTTTTTTGAGGGAGTTATTAATGTAGGGCCTACTTTATTTACATGTTGTATTTACAGTTTCATTCCTGTAGGACCTACTGTATTGGGGGTGGTTGTTATGTCAGGACCCGCTTTACTGAGTAACTTATTTACAAGTTCTTAATGTAGGATCTACTTTTATGTACCTGTCATTAATATAGAGCCTGTCTAATTTACATATTCCTGTACGTCCTACTTTATTCCCAGGCTGTTATTGTAGGTCGTGCTTTATAAGGGAATTTAGTATGTCAGGACCTGCTTTGTTTACACTTTCGTTACTGTAGGACCTGCTTTATTTATGTGTTACTGTAGGCCACACGTTATCTGTGCATTGTTATTGGAGGCTCTGCTCTGTTGACATGCTGTTACTGCAGGCGGGACGAGTTTATTAATACAAGACCTGCTTTGCATCTCATTAACATGGGTGCAACCTCATTTACATGTAATTAACAGAGGACCTGTTTTATTTACTGCTCTATTTCTATAGGACCTACTCTATTCCGCTTCCAGGACCGCAGCCTTGTGGCCACACCCCCCTCCAAGCCCTGCCTCCTGCACCCCATCCAATAGGAGCATCTGATGAAACCGAGGCTCAGGGGTGGGGCTTGCTCTGGTCACGCCCTTCCTTGTCGCTGGTGGGCGGCGCTAAGGGGAGGGGGCGGTGCAAGTTTAGGGTACGGGTGGCCTGGGACCAGCGCTTCAGCCAATGGGAGAAGGGGATGTTGCTGGGGGGGGTGGCCTGTATCCACTGAGCCGGCTGCTCCCACCTATGGGAGACGAAGGAGGGGGGAAGGGGGAATGTGACATCACACATGGTGGGAGTGGCCTCTCACAGACCCACCCTCGCCGTCTCACCATTGGCTGATGACGTCCTGGAGGTGGGGCCAGCCCTCGAGGCACTGCTGGACCCGAATGGACAGCGCCTGCAGCTGGGGGAGGAGCTCGGCGATGGCCACGCCCCCCGCGGGTGCTGCAAAGGGACGGGATCAGCGCAGGCCACACCCTCACCCCCCAGCTCGTCCCCCTCACTCACCGCGGGGTGGGCGGGGCTTCCCGGGTCCCGCCCCTTGAGCTGACCACGCCCCTTGCGCTGACCTCACCTCCTGCAGCTGTTCCAGCTCCCCCTGCAGCTCTGCCGCCCGCAACAGCGCCCCCTGTGGGGGCTGAGGCACAAACACCCCTGAGCAACGGCCCCATTGCCCCTCCCCCCTCTATGTCCCCTCCTTCCATTGCCCCGCCTTCCTTTATGTCCCCTTCTCGCATTGCCCTTCCCCCTTTATGGCCTTCCCCCTCTTTATGACCCCTGCCCCCTCTATGGCCCCTCCTTCCAATTCCCCTCCCCGTCTATGGCCCCTCCACCACCTCACTCTCTGCCATTCCTAGGGCAGGTCTGATTGGCTGCAGTGGGTAGTGGGCGGGGCTAAAGGGAGAATGGAGGGGTCAGCACAGCCCTTCCCCCTCCTCCTCCACCACCCTCCCCCCCCCCCAATTCACTCACCTCGGGGGGAGGGGCACTCTCTCCTTTCCCAGCATGCTCAGCGCTGCCTGCAGCCACTGCCCTTCCCCCTGCAGCCCTGGGGGGAGCCGCACAGCTCCTCGGGCCTGAAAGGGGTGTGGCCAAAGCTCTGAGGCCTCGCCCACTCACCATTAAGCCCCGCCCCACTTCCCTCCCCCTCGTTCCTCACCTGGGCCTGCAGGGGGCACAGCTGCGCCCGGAGCTTCCCATTGGATGCGGCCAGAGCCCGGAGCTGGATCCAGCGGCGGGACTGGAAGGGGTGGGGAGGGGGGACACAAGGAAATGAGGGACCCCAAAGCCATGGGAGGGACCCAAATACCCCCTCAAGACCCCCAAACACCTTAAATATCGCCCCATATTTCTCCCCAAAACCTCTCCCTTCACCCCAAACCAATCCAGAACCCCAGATACCCCTCCCAGCAATGCTGAATCCCCCAAATCCCCTCTAAAGCCCCAAACTCCCCCAGATCATCCCCTATAGACCCAAAATCCCCCTCCAGGACCCCCAGATATCCCTCATCCCTCCCAAAAAGTGGTGCTGGGACCCTTTAGGGACCCCAACCCCTCCCCATAACCATCAGATTCCACCCCCCAGCCCCCCCCAAGCCCATCAGGACCCCCCCCAAATCTCCACATTCCCCCGTTGGCACCCACCAGCCGCTGCTTCCCCTCCTGCAGCTGCCTCCTCAGTGGCCCCAGGGCAGCTTCTGGGGAGTCCATGGGGCTGCCCCGTAGCTCCAGGACCTGCTTGATCAGGGCGTCCCGAGCCCCTGAGAGCCCTGCGGCCTCCAGCATCAACCTGGGGGGCAATGGGGCCCCAAAGCCAAACGTTGAGGGGAGTTTGGGAGGCCCAAAGGGGTTCAAGAACCCTTTTTGGGGGGGGGGGGGGACGGGACCATAAAAGGACTGCAGGGACCATGGAGGGATTGGGGGCACCCCAAAAGGTCCCAGCACTGGGTTTAGGGAGAATCTGGGGGGCTTTAAGGACCCCTATGAGCCCAGCACCCGCTTCAGAAGGAAACCCAGTGGGGTTTAAAGTACAGAGAGAGTCCCTAAAGGGTTCTGGGGTTCAGGAGTGGGGAGGAAAAAGTTATGGGCAAAATTGAAACGCTGGGAGCGCCGCGCGGCACGACGGGAGTTGTAGTCCAACCGGGGCGGTGCCTTAGTGGTGCTGTAGGGGTGTCGCACTGCATCATGGGAGTTGTAGTCCAGGCTGGGGGACGCCCTCGTGGTGCTCTATGCGTGCTGCGCGGCATGATGGGAGTCGTAGTACCGCCTGGCGGCTGTATAATGGTGTTCTATGGGAGCCGCGGGGTATGATGGGAGTTGTAGTCATAACTGGGCGCCGCCATAACAGGGCTCAATGGGTGCCGCGCTGCATGATGGGAGTAGTAGTCCCGGCTGGGCGCCACCGTAAAGGGGCTCTATGGGTGCCGCGTTGCATGATCAGGGTTGTAGTCCCTGTAGTCTATGGGTCTCTATGGGGTCTCTATGGAGTCTCTATGGGGTCTCTATGGGGCGTCTCTATGGTTCACTTTGGGTCGCTTTCAGGATCTCTGCGGTGTCTATGGATCTCTATGGGTCTCTATGCGTCTCTATGGGGTCTCTATGAGTCTCTGTGGGCTGTGGATCTATATGGTCTCTATGGGTCTCTGTGTTTGGCCTCTATGGGTCTCCCTATGGGGTCTCTATGGGTTCCTGCAGGGTCTGACTGATACAGAGGGTTGACCATTGTACAAGGGAGTTGTACAGGGGGGTTGTACAAGGGGGTTAGAGGAATTTGTTTAAACAAAAGGACTATCTATTGTAAATGCCTGCTAAGCAGAACAGAGACCTCCGGTCCTGTTAATAAGCAGACGCCTGAATCTACGGATAAAGGGGCGAAGCAGAGGATTTACGGCTGGGACACTGATCAAACTCTACTGATAAAGGG